CAATACATAATGTCAATGGATTGGGTTTTATATGGGACAACAAAGGCTGACATGATCCCAACCCGATAATGTTGGGGTTGGGTAAATGTGGGTTTTCTACTCAACCCGACCCATTGATTCTCATAAGAGATTGTTTCTCATAACAAGCGATCTCATTGATATGCTTAAGCATCAAATATATAAATCCTACTCAGTGCCCATTTGGAAGGCTTTTCAAGTAGTAGCTTTTGGCGTTGCAAAGTACATCTGTTGATGCTCAGGATGGCTAAGGACAACACTGCCAATTCGCTCCTAAGACGAGGTGTGGCCCAGGCGTCCGAAGTTCGAGGTGGCCAAGGACTAAGAAGAACGTCAGAGGCCCCAGGGGAGAAATCAAGGCGGAGACTCCGACGGTCAAGTTAGTATTAGGAGGAGTATCAAGTGGACAAGGTCTGAAGTGCACAAACTCAAACGAGACCACGAGAGTTCTCAAGTGCTAGCTAGAGAGCTTAAGTTCCAATCCCTTGCCTTGGGGGGGTTCACCTCCTATTTATACTTTAGGCCGCCTAGAGGTAGGTGAGCTCAAACAGTCTGGATGTGTTCCGTATGCAGGGAGCACGGCCATCTGAGGCCGTCAAATGACTTTGTGCTATTGGCTCCGCAAAGCCCGCCGAACTCTGTTCTATGTGCGCCCTGATTGGGTCCGCTCTGAACTGCACTGCCTAACACATGTAGGCCCGCGAAAGGACGAAACCATCTACGCCTACATTAACACCCAATAGGGAAAGTTGTGAAGCCATGTTTAATGAAATAAATATGTTTATATGAGCTACCAAGAAATAAACTTTCTAGTGAAACCATATTTTGGTAGCTTATTCAAAGCAGCCAATGCAATCAATGAATGTTGAAGCCCTCCCAAAAGGCCCTTAAGAATTGATCTTATGAGCTTTTAGCCACATTAAAGAAACAATATTTGATGAAATGGTTGTAATAGAAAAACTGCCTAAGCTTTAATTCAACAAAAGGAAGGTGCTCAGTAAGGGTGAGCAAATGGGTATGTTCTATCTGAAACAGAACAAACTAATCTTTAACCCAATTTTTCACAATCTGTTACCAAGTATTGGAACTAACCACCACCAAAATTGGAATCCAAAAATACTTTGCATTTTTCTTCAATTTAATATTTGAATGTGTATAATGAGTAATGAAAAAGGTAATATTTATAAAATTTAAATTATATTATTATTATTACTATTTTTATTATTATTATTCAAAATCAAGTTTTCAAAGAATATATTCCATTTTTTGGGGGAGGGGGCTTAAAGAAACAATAGGTTCCACTGGTAGACCCAAGGCCAGAACCAACCTTGCAAAATTATTTTGCCAAGGTAGGTTTTGATTTCAAAAGCCTAGAACCAGCCCCCACAAGGTAATTTCAAGGTTCTATCTTGGAACTAAATTGAACCGACTCATGCTCACCCCTAGTGCCAAGTAGACCTAGCAAAGAGTTGACCCAACCTGTGAATCTGACCCAACCCAACCCGAAAAAACAAGGATAGGGTCTCATATTTAGCTACCTGAATGTGAGAATGACCTGATCCGATCCATCCCGAAAAAACTGGATTGGGTTGGGCCATGGGTCAACCTGTTGATCCGATTGTCAAGTCTAATTGGGACTATTTATGCATTTTTAGAAGTTTTCACACTGTAATTTTTTCTATTTAATCTTTACTCTTTATTGTTTACTTTTAAAATTGTTAGATGTTTACATTTTTTTATTTTATATTTAAAATTTTAAGGTTAATTAGTATAATTTTAATACTTTTCATGTAGTTTTTCTTTATTTTTTTAAATTTCAGTTATTTTTTGGGATGACCCGAATTGACCCATGGGTCAACCCTAACCTGAACATTTGTCTTGACTTAACTGGAACCCGACCCACCCAACCCAATTGCCAGGTCTAGTGCCAACTGCCAAGCAACGATTAACTCAATTGGTAGTAGAAATTTGAGACCAAATCTCATTATCAACAAGGAAACGAGATTTTCCAAGAGCAAAAAATATGAGAGTAACAAGATTCGAACCCAAGTTGCTTGCCTGGTGTAGGACGCGCTTTTACTTTAAATCTACTCATAAACTACTAAACCATTTAAGCTTTTATGCTAACAAGTGAAATGAAATTACTTTCATTAAATTTACTATTTACATGTAATCCAAATAAACAATAACTATATTTAAGCAACTAAAAAATAAAAAAGAATAATATTCAAAATTAATATTTTATAAACTAATGGAATAAATATTCTGTTAAATCCATAATAAAATCAAAAGATTATTTTAACTTCAAGAAATTATACAAATAAAATATTAATAGTAGAATAATTATTTTAATACCTAAATTTAATATACATTTAAATTATTACTTAATGTTATAATTTACATTACATTAAATAACAACATATTAACTATACAAAAATAAAAAAGAATGTTTACGAAATATTTGATAATATGATGTTAAATAGAATCTATCATATCTACTAATCAACATTGATATCAAAAATTAGTTTCTAATTTCAACAAAGCTATAGAAACAAAAATATTAACAATGGAGTAATTATTTTATTAATTGAGAATTAAAAGTTTGCATGTGATATGTATCTTAGAAATTTTAATAGATTTGATATATTTTAAATTGAGATTGTATTTTTTAAAAATATTAATATTTGGTTGACCTTTTTGTTAATATAATAAGTAAAATAGAAAAATAGAAAATAATTGATAGAATAATTAAGATACAATATGTGTATCTGTTATATATCTTGAACTTTTGATTGATACATCATCAATAAAATTGTATGATATCTATGCATCCCACTATATTAATTTTAATATACTTTTTTCTCATATACACCATTTTGATATACATTTCCTATGTTTTTTTTTGATAAAAACATTTCCTATGTATTTATACATTATTTTGTGGCTATTTGATTTTAATTTTAGTGTTATTAATCTATTTATGGAATTTGTATGTAGTTTCCTAGTGTATCCAAGCATTTCCATATTTTTCATTTGTATCCATGTATTTCTAAAATATATCCATATCTGTATTTGTATCCACATGATACAATACCTGATACTAGTAATTCTCCCACCATGGTTGGGCAGATTGTAAATAAAGAGACATAGGCATAGCTTGGGTCTGTTACTGTTACTGGTGATTGGACTACTATACCATGAGTTATGCAACCAATAAAAAATGAACATGTTAATATTTCATATATTAACACATTGCCCATGTGTAAGTAACTAACTCAGATCTCCTACCCACATGACACTACAATTGTACATTGGGAACATCTTCCCATGAATTGTAACAGACAAATACAAGAAATGTTCTCAATGCAAAGTTGTAGTGAGGCGTGGGTTTGATAGGGTTCTTGTGGGTAGGAGATCTGAACACATGGATGTTAACTAGGGATGAGCATTTGGTTTATTCGATTAAAAAGTGAACTGAATAAATAGAAATCAAATTACAAGAAAACCGAAATAACCAAAACCAAAAATTTTAATTCAATTTTCAATTATTTTGGTTAAAACAAAATTTCATTAACACACATAAAATATTATATATAATAACAAATAACATATATTGTATATTATAATATAGTTAAGAAACTGAATCTCATTGTAATATTATATATATATATATATATATATATATTAAGAAACTAAAGGCTTAAATAATGACTATTTTGGGAATATTGTTAACAGGAGTTAGCCATTAAGGAATCCACAACCTTTTTAATAACTTATTCACTAAAAGACAAAGCAATAAGCTTTTTCAGTTCAATATATTCAACTATTATCAAATGACCCCTAGGTAATTACCTCATCCAAATAACTTCTTTATGGACTATGTAGCTAAAATTAAGTCAAACAAACAAATGGAACTACAAAAAATAAACCAACATCCATGCTTTTAAACAACAATGTGAAAAAAAAAAATGACCTAAGGAAGAAGTATTAGAGAAAATATAAAATGAAAAGAAAATAAAAAGCTTGACACTTTGGATATATGATTATCTTTTCGATAAAAAAATTGTTAGCTTGGTCCCTAGATCAAGTCAAATTCAGGTTGTGTAGGGTAATGTAAATCTAGAAAAAAGTAACTTATATTTCCTTCATTTTTTCTAATAAATATAAATACATAGATTTTATTTTCCTTTTTTTTATGTTCGAGGCTTATGCCTCAAAATGGCTTGAGGCTTAGGGCTCGCCCTTTTCACACCCAACTGCCTCTCCTTCACCTTTAACCTTTTAAAACCTTAATGTTAACTCATGATTTGTTCCATAGCACAGGATACACATCGTGTTGTGATCAGCGAATCCCCAGTCAGAGGGGATACCTCCATTTTGTAGTTGTAGCCCCATTAAAAAAGTGTATGAAATGCTGGGATTGTTGGACCATCATATAGAGACTAGATCTGCTCCTCACAGATGGCGCCTCACACTGACCTCACAGGCACATCCTACCATACATTAGGAACATCTCTGGTACTTATGTGTTATTATTAACAGGAAATGTTCCTATAAAATTGTTGAGGCACCCTGTGCGAGTAACATATCCCAATTCCATCATATACTTTCCCTTACAAAAATTCCTAACCACTGCAATTTGGTGAGATGTTCTCAATTTCATTCCACCGTACTTATATGTCATTATCAATGGGAGATGTTCCCAATACAGGATGAGATGTGAATGTTTGTAAGGCGCCCTGTGTGTGGAGAAGATCCCAATTCCATCATATATTTTCCCTTATGAAAATTCCAAACCACTGCAATAAGGGGTCCAGAACCATCTGATCTTATTTTCATTGCAGGAACTCAACAGAGATCGTGGCAAACACAGGTCCACACCCACCGATATGGATAAGGAGATAGACTTAGCCACAATGAGTTACCACGTGGCAATCTGTCGTTCCTCCCCAACTCACCTCTTCTTCTATCAATAATCAACCCACCTACAGTCCACAAAGCAGCCCATCGTCATACCAGCTTGCTAACTCGCTAGAGCTGCTTCCGTCCTTCTCAGTCCTCCAATCTCCAAATCCTTCTCAGCTGCATACAACAATGGCAACCCTAACCTCCCTATCTGGCACCATGGTTAGCACCTCGTTTGTCCGGAAGCCCACAACGAGCATCCGCGCGCTCCCTAACGTGGGTCAGGCTCTATTCGGAGTTAAGGCCGGACGTGGCCGGATAACAGCCATGGCCATACACAAGGTGAAGCTGATCACTCCTGAAGGCGAAAAAGTGTTCGAGTGCCCCGACGATGTTTACATCCTTGATCAGGCTGAAGAGGTTGGCATCGAACTACCCTATTCATGCCGTGCCGGATCTTGCTCTTCTTGTGCCGGCAAGGTCGTCAGTGGGCCAATTGATCAATCAGATCAAAGCTTCCTGGATGATGACCAGATCGATGCTGGATGGGTCCTCACCTGTATCGCCTACCCACAAGGAGATGTTGTTATAGAGACCCACAAGGAGGAGGAGCTCACTGCTTAATGATCGATCAGGTGGGCTGAGATGGGAGCTTTCAAGGGTGGATAGACTATCTGAGTTTCGTTTTAGCTAAAGTTTCTTTTTCTTGCTTAGTTGGTTATTATGGATGTAATTTGTGGCTTCCAATCTGCTTGTTTTGAAGTTTCCTTCCTCTACAAAATTGGATTGTAACGGTGGAATTCAGAAACTTGCTAATTGGGCCTCCAGTTTTCTTCCCAATTCCATTTCTATCATCATCCTTACACAGCATTGAGGAATTAGTGTGTTTGGATTTTGATGTTTCCTATGTACTGCTATTTATAAAGCTAACTTTGCTGTTAGTGTTCTGTTCTTGTTTTGTGGGTTTGGAAATTGATTAGATTGTGAGAAAAAAGGCAAGGGTCTTGCTTTCACAACACCAGGCCAGAGCATTTCTGAAACCCAACCAAATTTGACATTCTGACATAAAGATTTCACAATGCTGCTTCAATCATTGGAAGTTTCCCCTAGAACAAGCAAAATAACAGATAGAAAATAAAAAAATAAAAAAATCAGGAGAAGAGAAAGAAAAAGAAAGGAATTGAAATTCTCTGTAAGCTGTGTTCGGTTTGAATGAAAAGGTAGGTAAAGGAAAGGAAACCCATCCAAACCTACTTTAGGTTTTTCTACCTTTCCCTATCTTTTCTTTCAAACCAAATACAACATTAGTTGAATCTCTTCATAGATTCCCTTTCAAGAAGAGACCAAATCAGCCCCCCACAGGATTGCCCCCCACGACATCCCACAGCACATCCTCACCGTGTATTGGAAACATCTCCCAATGATAATCCCATAAATTACAATGTCATCATCGGGAGATGTTCTTAATACATGGCAGAGATGTGTTGTGGGACGTTGTGGGGGGCAATCTCGTGGGGGGCTGATTTGAACACTTTCAAGAGCACCCAGATCTTTGACAGGTTTACGGTGAAAATTCAGCGAGTCAATTCAGAATACGTACGTGCCAATTTGTTCGGACAAGTTTTAATTTGAGTTCTGAATTCAGGGTCCGTTTGATTCGCAGCTGGAATCGGAATTGGAATGGAAATCTTTTGGAATTGGAGTCAGAATGGTCTATTTCCATAATTTGATTGGTTCAAATAAGAATAAAAATGAAAATTGGAATCAGCTGGAATAAAATTCATTCCCCAAAGAAGGATAAGGAATGACCATTCCCTCAAATGGGAGAATACTATTCCGTTCAACCAAACAATTGGAATCGGAATAACCCATTCCATTTCCAATTCCTGACCCCTATTCAATGGACAATAAAAAACGAAGGGGGTGTTCGTTATAGTTTCGTGTGGTTTCAACCACATGACACATGAGATGTATTGATGTGGTGGATTTGTTGGTGTGTTTTGAAATGGACAATAAAAAACAAGTGCTAAGCAAATTGTGTGGTGTTTTGAGATGGACACCACAGGTTAGCTAAACTGCTTTACTCACATACAATATGTATTATGCATCAAAAGCGTATGCCAACTATTAGACTGATAATGAACTGATAGAAACTCCACTAGTTGTATGAAATCATCAACTCAACTGTATTATATCCAATATTACAAATTCACATTCAACTATTTTGTATATAGTAATTTTTATGGTGATGATGATAGTAAATAATATGTTCTCAATTTTTTTTTACAATTTTTTATATTTCTGTTTATAAAAATTATTCTTATTTGTCACACCTATATTTGTTTAATATGATGAAATATATGATATTAGATATGCACCCAAATTTATTCTTATTATTTAATTATGACCTCAAATGTGTTGACACATTTTCCCCAATAGGTTGAATTGTTGAAAACAACTCCATTTCTGTGTTATTTTATTTCTATCATTATTAAAACCAACTTTTCTTTGTCATATTTATTTTTCTTTAATATGGTTAATTAATTAATATAGGATTCTATGAAAGAATGGGAGTTAATACCCTATATATATAAGACTTAATAAGCTGAAATTAAATGTTGTAGTTCAAATTATATTCTGCACACTCAATTGGAAATGGACCAAATTCAAAAATAGAGGAATTCTAGTCAATAATAGAATTGAATGAATGCCATTGGGAGTTAATACCTTAAATATAAGAGTTAATGAGAGGGATTTGAATGAGGAGAAGGTGATTATTCAATTACATTTCTATCCTTACAGAGAGGCCAAATTAAAAAAAAAAGGTTATTTTAGTCTATTTTAGTCAAACAAAAGTTCAACATTCTCATTCACACTTTTAATATTAGTATAGATAGATATACTCAACTTTCATAAACTGTTATGAATTAGATCTAAATGTTACAAACTTGTACTCATCTATTAAAGTTAAAATTGATACTCAATTGGCACAAACCATTACAAACCCACACTCAACCATTAGAAACTGATACTTAAAATGTAGATAACATTACAAACCAGATCCAAATGTTACAAACCCACATCCAACCATTATAAACCGATACTCGAGTAGTACAAACACCTACAACCCGATACTTAACCATTACAAACTGATATTCAACTTGTAGAAACTGTTATCGGCCTACATTTAACAGTTATAAGCCAATACTAATTGGTATAACTTGTAAACAAACACATTGTCATTTATAAATTGCCAATTCAATCTATCAATTTATATTGCTAGAAATGTGCCTATGTGTAAGGGTGTCAATTAGATTGGATTTGGTCCAATCCAATCCAGTCCAATGCGAGTTCATTATAAATGGACGAGTTCCAATCCAATCCAATGAATATTTTGGACCATTTTCGATCGGTCAAATTCAATGTTTGGACCATCATCTATTCAAATTCATTTTTATTTAGATTGATTCCAACCCAAATGTGGTTCATTGAGACCTAAACTCTTATCTCCTATAAATGGACCGGAGTTGGCTCAATCCAACCCAATCCAATATAAATTCATTATGGATGGCCAGGTCCAATGCAATCCAATGAATACTTTGCACCATTAAGTCTGGACTGGTCCAATTCAATATGTCTTATTGGTTCATCCAATCCATCCAAGATGATTTTGTTTTGGATGGGGATCAACCTAAAACCGGTCCATTGACACCCCTACCCTCGTGTCGCGTATAAATTTTCACATTACTAAACTACTATCAATTGGTGTTGCTAAAGATGCAATACATGAGTTGAACTATGAACTGTCCACCACAAAGGAAAGACATTTCAACTTTTGGACAAAGTTATTTTAATCCATCATTATCAACTTTTTTCTTATTAAATCAATTTCTACCATGAAATGAGTGTAATATTGAAAGGTTTCAAGCCTATGGCTGAGTGGATATCTATGAACTCTAAAAGTTGGAAGTTTGAGTGCCGAGAGCAATCTATATCTCTTACCCACACATCACTACAGTTGTACATTGAGAACATCTCCCCATGAAAGGTAATACATAAATAGGAGAGATGTTCCCAATGTGTAACTGTAGTGATGTATGGGTAGGGTTCTTGTGAATGTGGTTGAATGTGTTTTTTCTAGAGTTGTGGGGGGGAAGCCCCTTAGTGATAAAGGGCAAAAAAATATTCAAGAGTTTGTTGTTTTGGTGAATGACCAAATCTTGTGTTTGTAGAGGAAAGGTTGACTAACAGGCATATGCAGCCTTCTCAATATTCCTCCACAATTACCAAGAGATCGGATTCAGTCCTCACAAGACCACAATGCTCACACCATTCGCATAGTCCCTTGCAGCCTTTCATTGGGAATATCTCTCCATGAAAAAAAGCATACAAGTATGGAGATATTCCCAATGCAAGGCTGCAAGAGGCTGTGAGAATGGTGTGAGCACGGTCTTAGTAGGACCAAATCCGATTTCCATTTCCAATTAATTGAGACACTAGGTCCTAGGTTTCTTTGGTAGGGACACACATGAAGTGGGGGACCAAGTATTGGATCACACGAGTTTCCTTAACATCCTTCTCCTAGTCATACCATGTGGCACAATCCTAGGATTAGGATTTAGTTGAGCTTGGTGTGTTATTTCTTTCTAAGCGATCTACGGTGTGGCTTCATTGATGTTGAGGTTGAGAGGAAGGTAAAACTACAAGGAGGGCAAATAACCGAAGCCAAAGTAGGTTTAGTCCACACAAGATCCATGATGGCTAGGTGAGGTTGAGAGCTTGTGAGTCCGATGCTTGTTGCCTTGCGAGTTCCATAATATATAGGTGAAGTTGGGAGTTGGCATATCCATGGTTTCAAGCCTCATGGGCTTCATGATAGTGAGGCCTGAGGGACTGCCTTCATCTACAAGTCCTGAGATATAGATTTGCAAGTATTTGTGCATGCAAGGTCAAGGTTCATGGTGCTTGACACTATACATATCTCATACAATGTTAAATACAACCTTTGCAAGTCTTTGTTCATGGTGCTTGACCAAGACACTATAGATCCATGGTGCTTGACCAAGTCTTTGTGCATGCAAGTTCAAAGTTCTCATCGCACCTCAAAACTTGCTTATCTCGCACCTCAAAACTTGCTCATCGCACCTCATAACTTGTTCATCGCACCTTAGAAGCCACTCATTGCACCTCAAAACATGCCCATCTCACACCCATCTACCTTTTCTGCACCCTATTATCACATCGCACTCTCCGTCGCAACGCATTGTGTCTCTATCGCATCGCAGCCCCTTGTTTTTTCCTTTTTTTGTTTATTGTTTTTGGTTTTTTCTTGGCTCCCCCCTTCTTTCTTGTGGTGCCCTCTTAAAAGGAAAATTTACAAACTTATCTATTTCTATATAATTGATTGTGCTTATCCTTATCTCTAAGTGATGGTAGGCCCCGTTTAGTGTGCGGGAATAGAGGTCTAGAATCAGAATTGGAATGGGCTATTTCGATTCCAACTGTTTGGTTGGGTGGAATCACAATCCTATTCCCATTCCTATTGAAATGGCATTCCCCCATTTAAGGGAATGACCATTCCTTGCCCCTCCATTGGGAATGAAATCCCATTCCTATCGATTCTAATTACCATTCCCATTCCTTTTGAACCAAACAGATTATGGGAATGGACCAGTCCAATTCCAATTTTGGAGGTTTTCGATTCCGATTCTGATTCCGATTTCAACTACAAACTAAACAGACTCGTAGTTGTTTGCTTGGTTTTCTTTCTATATTTAGTTTCTTATTCTGCTTCCCTTTTATCTTTAGTTTCCTATGGCAAGCATCAAAAGAACTCAGCTTCTCTTAGATCCCCAAATGTGCCACATAAAAATTTGTAGGATTGTTTGCAAACTTGAACATGTGGCTGCATTCTGCCCTTGTTCTTTGTTATTTTTCTATTCACTTC